AAATGGAGATTATAAGTAGTTTGATTTCAAGAATTGCTTATTCTGAGCTAAATTCTTGGCCTGCTTCGATTACTTATAAGTAGTTACAATTACGATACAAACAAATGGTTATAATGGAAGCTTGGGACAGAAGTTGTGAACTGATCTCAAGAATTGCTTATTCAATATTATTAATCACTTTTATCATTAGCGTATATAAATATTTACAAGTAACGTCGAAGCAAAGCAAATCTTGGTAATAATTGCATGGATGATTGATTATCCCATGCACTTTGTCCAATTACTTGAGATCATTGAAGATATAATATTTTCTTTATTTTCTTACAAAAATGATGACTGATTAGTTGGATTTAACTTGAGACGACATGAGTACACATATATATGAATAATACAATGAACATCATATAGAATATACTTTTCGTATTATTTTTTTATTTTGTAACGTGTTTATTATATATTGAATCAATCATGTGTAAAAAATTCGCTCATAAATTGTGAAGAAACGGACATCGTCAAACTGATATTTTATATTGCATGAACAAATTGTGGGCTTGTGAATTTAATTGGTGGAGTAAAGCTATCATATTCATATCTCTCCGGGATCCGGTTCCAAGTCGCAATTAAGCTGTACCGGATTCCTTCTTACTGATTCGACTTCCGAAAATCAGATACCCGATTGCATGGCCCAAAACAGCTGCAATGAAAACGCCACCATTGAAAGACATCACAGCCAACACCACCATATATGCAAACCCGGCTCGAATTCCATGGAACCCAGTCTGGAAAAAAACCCTCGCGACCCGGTTTGACCCAGGTTTGACAAGATTAAGGTTTGACAGAAATTCAACCAAAACAGCCAGAACAAAAACAAATACTAGAGCCAATGCATACATGCCAGAATGATTGTCGGGCCAACCAGAGAAGAGGATTTCGGCGTCTTTGCCCCAGTACAAGTGCAAGAAAGGTGGCTTGTGGTAGTGGTGCGGTGGCGGTGGCGGTGGATGAGTGGAAGATATGTTGTGGTTGTGGTGTAGTGGGAGAGCATTTTGGTCCATGTTGTCTCGGGCAGATATGTTTGTGATTTCGGTCCTGGGATTGATTTTACGAAATCTAAGGAGCGTGGGACAAGAAGCATTTTCTTTTGTACTAGGCAGCAAGCAAGCTAAGGCATTTTCTTTTTCTTTTTCTTTTTGCAGGGAATTTAGCATCACTTGTTTGCAAGCAATCGGCAACATTCCTTGTGAGGAAATTGATGGTCGTAACCTATCGTGCAATTATAGAGTGATGTAGATACTAATGCAATTCACTCTACATAAAGACAGGTTGTGTCCAATCATTATACTTTCAAGTGTATTTTACAAGCTTAAATTAGTTCATTAAACTAAAATTTTGTTTCTACTTTTTAGTGTACTCTTTGTTTTATTAGTAAAATTTCCAATTTAATGGTGAACAAATCAAAATGAAGAGATTTTGGACGTTGATTTGATCAAAGGATGGTATTACACGAAGGCTGAGAACTTATGGGCACTCAATTGGACGGAATTAGAAGTCAATTGAAAGAATTCAAGATTTTTGGGGAACAACGTGAATGCTTAGAAAAGTTTAAGGACTTATATGGAACTAGTGGTGTCAACGAGTCGAGCCGAGTTTGAGCCAGGAAAAAAAAAGCTCGAGTTGAGCCCAAGCTTTTTTCGGCTTGAGTCGAGCCAAGCCCGGCCAAAAAAAATGAGGCTCTGGTTTTTTTTTTTTTTAATATAAATTGCAAAAGTACGTAAT